CATATCCATGCTCCTGTGTCCCAGCAATAAAGTGAGTATGACCAACATCATTATATTGCTTGTAATTGTGATAATGACAAATGCTGATAAAAAGTACCTCCATGCTCTAATGCAGAACAATGGCTTCAGAAGTAGTAGGATGCAATGGCTTCAGAAGTAGTACGATGCAATGGCTTCAGAAGTAGTAGGATGCACGAGAAACAAACTGACATCACCACAAAATCTACTTAAAGCCTCCATTAGAGGGATTACATGTACAGTTTGAGCCATTGATGCTTGATCTGGGCTATCCAGTGGTTGGTTTTTTGTTAAATTTCATTATGAGCAATTCAATATCCTGGGTCAATAAAACTGATTCACAAGCCTTACAATTGATAAAGTGACTTATTGCACCAAGTAAAACAATTTAATTGATTGCTCTTACATGGTCATAGTAGTAAGGTGACGCTATATGTACAGTGAATTAAGAAAAACAATAACAGTGAGTGCATGTGTGCACAAACACCCCCCCCCCCCAAACACACACAGAGAAGGGGGTGGTACCAGCGGAAAGCCTTCATGGGTTCAATAAGATTGACAAGGTTGGCAAAGCTCTTGATGAGTTGATTTGATTGATCAGTTCAGGTGGAATGCCCTCTTTGAACTTAGCTAGTGCTATGCGATTCACCTCTCCTGTCACTTCCTCCATTCCACTCTCTGTCTTTGCTCTAGCCCTTGTCTTACGGTTCCTGCTATACGGGTGTGCATCTGCTTATGTGTGTATTAACCATAAATTAGTGTTGTTAGAGTATGTGTGGCTCATATTTTGCTATGTGCATAATGGCAAGGAGGCAGATGCCGGAGCGGGCGGAGTGGAGCCCACGACGGCATCTGCCTTGCGGGATTTTTATAAAGGGGACGCTGATAAGTTGGGGGTGCGAGGGCAACGCCCCCGCGGTACGGTACAGGGGTATTTTTGTAAATACGTCCATATTAGGGTTATATAAATACTTAAGATGTAACCCTATTTCAATAAGGAAAAGAACAGCCGCTCGCTCTCGTGGATGTAGGCACATTGCCGAACCACGTAAATCTCTGTGTGTTATTTTCTCCTGCTTTCTTAATTGTTTTGATTCCTTACTATTCACTATAATTGCTGCACGATCACAACAATTGGTATCAGAGCTAGACTACGATGTCTGGGATTTCCTCTACAGAATTCGACATCATGAAGTTCGACGGAACTGGGAATTTCGGATTATGGCAGAGGAGGGTGAAGGACCTGTTAGTGCAGCAGGGCATGGTGAAGGCATTATACGGAAAACAACCGGCAGGAATGGACGACATGGATTG